GAGAGAGAGAGAGAGAGAGAGAGAGAGAGAGAGAGAGAGAGAGAGAGCCAAAATTGGAGGTTTCCCTCTGGTACGTCCTCGTGGAACTCTGGGCGGAGCTCGGAAGAGGGGGAGGAGCCTGAGCGGGGGGGCGGGGCCTGAGGACACGAGGAGAACACATTCCACAGGCATCAAATCATGGGGCTCATAGGGGCCCACAGAAACTGAAGCCGCAATCACTGAGACTGACTGGGTCAGGGCTTGGTCCTCTGAAGACATAACTGTGGTTTGTTTAGCCTGGTGTTTTTGTGGGACTCCTAACTGTGTGAATAGTTCATTGTATCTTTTATTTATTCATTTATTTATTTATAAAATAGAGGGCACTAGATCTCAATATAGATGGTTGTGAGCCACTATGTGGTTACTGGGAATTGAACTCAGGAACTTCGGAATGGCAGCCAGTGTTCTGAACCTCTGAGCCATCTCTCCATCCCTTATTGCATCTTGTTATAGCATGTTCAGTGGATAATCCTGGGAAGGAAAACGGGGGGGGGGGGGGGGGGCTGGGAGAGAAGGGCAGTGGGGGAGCACTGGGAGGAGACAGGGAGGTACTGAGAGGAGTTAAGAGAAGGAAAACTGTGGTCAGGATTATTGAAAACGAAAAAAAAGAAGTTAAAAAGTGTAAATAAAATAAAGAGGTCATCTTGGCTGCCGGTGATAATCACAAGGATGCTATGAGTATGAGGGAGGCAACACAGTGATGGGGTGGGAAAAGGCCTCCCTGGCAGCTGCCGTCCTTGGAAATGAAAAGGGGCATTCCACGGTTCTTAACTGGAAAAGCAGCTTGAGGCCAGCAAGATGACGGGGAAAGGCGCTTGCTGCCAAGACTGCCAACCTCAGTTCAATGCCCAGGACCTATATGGTAGAAGGGAGAGAACCCACTCCTGCAAGTTGCCCTCTTACCTTCTTCTACACACCATGCACATGTACGCCTACATACACATAGATACACACATGTACGCATAAAACAAATAAATGCAAAACAGTTGTAATGAAAGCTTTTTTACAGCCTTTTCTTTATATATATATATATAAAGAATATATATATATATTATATATATATATATAAAGATGCTTCAAGCTAGGACTAAAGCATCTATGTTACGAGTTTTTCAATAAGAAAAAAAAAATCAGACCCTGTTTTCTTGGAGTATCCTGGAAGTCTAAGCTTCCCGGGCTCTGGGCTGTCTTCACATTGAAGTGTAAAGTTGGCTTTCAGCAGTTCATAAGATGTTCATGCTAAATTTTAGGAACAGTTGCTTGGGAGGCTGAAGAGATGATCTTCCAGAGGGTCTGGGTTCGATTCCCAGCACCCACATTCTCTGTAGCTCCAGTTTCGGGAAATGTGACATCCTCTTCTGACGGCACTGCATGTGTGTGGTTCACAGAGACACGTGACACATGTGATACATGCAGAGGCAAACACCCATACACACAAAATTAAAATAAATAAGATATACATATATAATGAATATTTATAACTAAGGTGGCTCTTCTCGTGACCTATCACTCAGCATGAAACACACGTAAAGAGACGTTCATAGCCAGGTGGTGGCACACACCTTTAATCCTAGCACTTGGGAGGCAGAGGCAGGTGAGTTTCTTCTGAGTTCAAGGCCAGCCTGGGCTACACAGAGAAACCCTGTTTTGAAAGCCTCCCTCTCCCCCCAAAAAAGTTCATAAAGCCAAAGCACGTTAACTTAACTAGATGCAGTTGGATTGAGGAAGACTAAGGTTTTAATTTAGAGGAGGAGAAATATTTCAAGGTATTAAGGGATTTGAATCAGCATCAGGGGAGCATATGTATGTATACATACATACACACACATATACATATACTTGCCTTCCGGTTATGGTCTGCACACAAGCTTTCTTTCACTCTGAAGCTGTTAAACCCAACAAAAGGTAGGCCCTGTAAGAGCTGGGGAAACTTTCAAATTCCAGGTAACAAGGAAGCCAGCTGCTTAACCAACAAACTTCCTGTGTGTGCCGCAGCCACTGACACCAGGAAGACACCTTGCTGGCGCCGTGCTCAGAGGGGCTGTAGGGAGTGAGAGAGCGTTCTGTGTCCACTGCAACAACCACATAACCCAGAGTGAATCCTAAGGTAGACCGTGGCCTTCGAGTGACTGTGCCATGCCAACCTAGGCTCATTCGCTGTAACGAATGTGCCGCTGTGTGGCAGACATCCTTGTGTGAGGACAAAAGGCTTGTGGGAACCCTCTGCATTCTACTCCATTTTTCCTTGAACATCAAACTGCTCCAGAGGGCTGGAGAGATGGCTCAGCAGTAAAGGGCATATTGTTCTTCCAGAGGGCCCCTGTTCAGTTCTCACCACTTAGACCTCGGGTCTCAGCACCCAAATTCATATGTACTCCCACATACATATTATCTTTAAAAAATAAGTAAAATTTCTCTAGATGACATTTACTCCTTTAAAAATAATGGGCGCCGGGGCTGGAGAGATGGCGCAGTGATTAAGTACTCTGTCTGCTCTTCCAGACGTCCTGAGTTCAATTCCCAGCAACCACATGGTGGCTCATGACCATCTATACTCTCTTCTGGCGTGCAGGTGTACATGCACATAGAGTATTCAAAATAAATAAATAAATAAAATCTTTAAAAAAAATAATGGGCCCAGGCATGTGTATGTGTGTGTGTATATATGTAGGTATGTGTATATATGTATGTATGTATATGTGTATATATAAGTGTGTCTGTGTGTCTGTGTGTGGGACTGTGTGTGCATGTGTGAGTGTATGTGTGTGTCTGAGTGTGTGTTTACGTGGTTGTGTGTGTATGCATGTGTGTGTGTACATGCTCCTCCAGAAGGAAGCTTACTTTACTTAGCCACGAGCTGTCCTGTGTGTGTTATATGGACTGAAGATCAAGAGCCGGAGTTGGTGGCACAGTAGTCAAACACAGAACATCCTCACGTTGGTGGAGGAGGAAGGTGCATCACAATGCTCCGGCATGATGTCTTTAGTTAGTATTTTTTAGGTCCATATGAATCAGTGGGGGGGGGGGTCCTGTTCTTAAATTGTAGGTGTTTTAGAAAAAAGGGGAGAGGAACAGGGAGAGGAGGAGGAAGAAGAGAGAAAAGAAAGAAAAGTGGGGAAGGAAAGAATTAAGGCACAACATTTGCAGGTAGGAAGATGCCAGCGAGGTGACTTGGTGAATAAAGGCACTTACAGCAGAGCCCGATGACCAGAGTTCAGTCTCTAGATCTCAAAAAAAGATAGAAGGAGACAAATGACTCCATAAAGTTATCCTCAGGCCTCCACATGTGTGGTTTGACATCACACACGCACACACACACACACACGCACACACACCCCATCACACACCAGAATTCTTTTCTGTTAATGTTCATTTTTAGTCTATATGTTTTGCTTATATACGTGTGCGTGTGCCTCCAGTTCCCCTGGACTGGAATTATAAACACTTGTGATTTGCCCATAGGTGCTGAGAATTGGACCTTCGTCCTCTGGAAAAACCGGCAGTGCTCCTAAGCATGGAGCCACCACTGCAGGCCGTAAACAATTACTGGTTTCTGTTTTGCTTTGAAGTGGAATGCTCATGTGGGCGATTGCCCGTTTGTTCTGAGCACGTGTGTGGAAATCAAAAAATCACCTCCAGCGCTATTTCTCCTCAAGAGGTAGCCACCCTGGTTTTGTCTCTCTGTTTCTAGATTTTTTAAACATTTCTGTGCATCCGTGTGCTCCCACATGCATTTACGTACACTGCATGCATGTTGGTGCCCAGCGGGGCCAGAGGGCATCACACACCCTGGAACTGAAATTAGTTGCAGTTTCCACCTCTGCAAGAGAAGTAAGTGCTCACAGCTGCTGAGCCATCTCTCCAGTTCCTGCCTTGTTTTTCGATACAGGCTCTCCCATTGAGAGTGGGGCTCATCAATCAGGCTTAGCTGGCTGGACAGCAAGTCCTAGAAATTCATTTGTTTCCACCCCCCAACAGTACTATCACAAGCACTTGCCACCACACCCAATCTTTAAATGGACCATAGGGACCATAGGAACCAAATTCAGGTCCTCAATCTGCCAGCTGAGTCATCTCTTGAGGCCCCTCCCACAGCACTTCTTAACTGGCTTATAGGAAGATGTTTCATCCGGACAATGAGAGGCAGCAAAAATCAGAGTCAGCTCTCCCTGGCTCTTTTTGGACCGCTGGCAGGAAGCTCACAATAAAGAATGCAGTCTCTCCAGCCCCCCAAACATGAGATCTGTCCAACCAGGCCTCATGAGATTGAAAATGGGCGAGGCTGTGAGCCAACATCTGAGAAATGTTTCTTGTAAGTAGCTGACTGTATCCACTCACCCCTAAATGTGGAAAAGAACAAGGAGAGTCTGGGCAGAGGTCAAACATGCCAGTTGTTGCTAATTAATTAATGTTGCTAATTAATTTTCAAAAAGGCTGCAGCCCAGTATTGACTGGCATTCTGTCAGAATAAAATAAGCACAGTTTCCTACTGGGAAACAAGCCTGTGTGAGAGTTAGCAGAGCACACTTGAGGCTCATTGCTACAGAAGAGAGCTGAGAAACCCAGGCTTTCATGTTTTCGCCCATTCTCTGAGAGTGAAAGGGAATACTGTATTAACTTGACCCACATCCTGACAGCACAACATAATCAATAATCAATCAATATCTCTCTCTTCCATCTGCTATCCCAGGGATAATAAACAATTACATTTATTGTACCAAAATACTTTAATTATTGTATCGAATGTCACTTTCTACCCAATGCTGATGTCAGGCGTGTTGTTTGTTTGCTTGCTTGTTTGTTTGTTTTAGTCATGATCTTGCTATGTCACTCAGAATGGCCTCAAACTCATATCCTCCTGACTCTGTTTGTTATGGGCTGGTAGTTCAGATGTGGCACCACATCTGGCTTCAGAGCTGTTGAGCCTTCACTAAGTGTGAATAGAACTGAGACAGACTAGAGTGATGATATTTGACAGTAGCTTTCTGGGTTATCTTTTTTTTTTAGACAGCGTTTCCCCTGTGTAGCCCTGGCTGTCCTGGAACTAGCTCTGTAGACCAGGCTGGCCTCAAACTCAGACATCCACCTGCCTCTGTGTCCTGAGTGCTGGGATTAAAGGTGTGTGCCACTATCCCCCAGCCATTTATTTTGTTGGTACTTCATAACTGTAATTTATCTACTGTTATAAATCATAAGGCAAATATCTGATATCCAGGATATCTGATATACTGCCATGCCCAGCTTCATTTTAATGTCATATTTATGAGTGGTTTGACTATATGTATGTCTATACACTACATCTGTGTAGTGTCCAAGGAGGTATCAGATCTGCTGGAAATGGAGTTACAGATAGTTGTAAACTACCATGTGGGTGCTGGGAATTGAACCTGGGTCTTCTGGAAGAGTAGCAGCCCTGATGTAATGTAGCATTCTTAATCATCCTAGGAAGTTCATATTAACAGAGAAACAGATCTCCACAAGTGTACATTTCTTCTGTGGCTAAGCATAAGACACAGAATATATGTTCTTTTTTTTTTTTTATTTGCCCAAAGTACACTCTTGTGCGGTGAGACATATTTCTTACTAACCCTACTCAGTCTGTTGTCTGTGGAGATATGCTAAGCTACTGGTCCTTTCTCTTCTCTTCCACAATGAACCATAACAACTATGTAAGGCCAGGGCTGCTGGTGTCTGCTTTTCCTAGCCCTCGCAGAGAGCTCACCACAAAATGAGGTCAATGTGGAACTAAGAGGAAGTAAAACACATATTCACAGAATAATGCCGGTAATGACACTGTGCTGAGCTGAGTCTAGCAATATCATGCCTTTCCCTGGGTAACTAACATATTAATATTTATTTATGTATTGCCTAGAGGACTTTGAGTTGGTCTTATTGGTGGTCATCATATGCATCTTGCATGAAAGACTTTCTGAAACAAACCATGTCCCACTGTGACCATAAATTGTGTTACCGTTGAAGTTGGGTGACAGGAGCGGGCATGGGGCTTAGACTGGGCACATGTAATTGAGGCACATGGTTTCAATGTATGGGAGAGAGGTCATGAAAAATAGCAAAGATCAGCATCCAAATTGAACGACAACATTGATCTTTATGGTCACATACCTGTTAGTTCTTGTCTTGCCACTACACAACTTTTTAAAATACAAAACAAAAACCAGTCTACAGCCCATTATCTGGCCTTCAGAACAGAGACAGACAGAATTGTCCTCCTTGTTTCCTTATCACGGAGAGAATTTACTCTAGAAATTTCTGGGACATGACAAATTTAGGAAGGCAGGAAGTAAGGCAACCAGAGGAACGCTAAATGTTCCCAGGACCAAGGAGACAAACCACGTGTTTCCTTTGCAATGGGACTTCATTGCCACTGCTGCAATCCTTAACTGAACTGACAGCTCAAGACCCTTCACAGATCAGGACCAACCCCAGCACTCCCACGGACCGCTCTACGACACCGGCTTAATGAAGCCGTAATCCATGCACTTGATAAGACATTCCCGGGCTGTCTGGACCACAGCTGCCTTCTTCTCATCCGGCTCCTGCTTTCCCACCACAGTCAGGATCTCTAGCAGCTCACTCTCCACCAGCTTCCTGGCCAGCTCCGCATCCGCTGATAGCAGGTTGTAGGCAATGACCAGGCCACGGTGCTGCACTGACAGCTGGTCGTGCAGACAAAGCCGCTGTAGGATCTCCAGCCACTGGGTTGTCTGCAGAGTGGGAAAGGGTAGGGAGGGATTTAAGGAGTCAGTGGGGATGCCGAGAAAAGATCTGACAAGAGAAAGGGAAAGTGTCAGCCATGCCCGCAGCTAAATAACTTGATTATGACCATATATCCATCCGCAAACAGTGATGGACTAAATTAGACTAACAACCTCATCCATCCATCCATCCTTCCATCCATCCATCCATCCACTTATTCATTCTACATGTGCTTGTGTGTGTGGTGTACATGTATGTAGGCGTGTTCACATGTGTGCAGAGGCACATATATGCAGTTATACATGCGCATGCTTGTGCATGTTTTTGGAGGCCTGGAATCGGTGTCAGGTGTCTTCTTTGATTACACTCCACTTTTATTTGGCGAGGTAACATCTCTCAGCTGAACCCAGAGCTCAGGGATCAGCTGCATTAGTTAGCCAGTTTGTCCCTGGACTACAAGCATCCACAGTGCCTGCTTGGCTTTTACATGGTTTCAAGGAACCCAACCTCTGGTCCTCCTGCTTGCATAACAAATACTTTATCCACTGAGCTGTCTCCCCACCCCATCCATCTATTTTTTTTAAGCACCTCGAGAAATAGAAATACAGGCCCACTGAACATCTCAGCAGAATGAAGACGCAGAACACTAAGGAAAGAGAGTCCTCGTGTGGCGAGCACAGATAATGCTCGCTTCTATCAAGCCAGATGCCCTTTGAGCCAAGAGCTCCAGGCACGCAGGCATGCTCTCCACCATTGGCTTCAACTGGACCAAACACGAGACTCTAAGGCAAATTCTCTCGTTCCTTCTCCATCCACCATCCACAACCACGAGGACAGTTGGCTGCTGGGTATGAGTGCTCGGCCACCCTCATCACCCTAGAAGACAGTGAGGAGGCTGGTGGCAAAGCCGGGAGCTGACTCCTGGCATTGGACAGGTACACACGAGGTGGCAGGGTAGAAGAAACACCATCTGTATGAGTTTGGATCCAGAAAGAGTAGCCCTCAGGCCACATTCAGCACTTGCCATCTGCGTGGCCTCTCCTAAGTTATATGCCTCAAGAGTCTCCTCATCTGTCACTGTTCTTCTGCTAGCAACATTTCCAAACTTGTTTCCCAATGGAAAAATGAGGAGAGAATAGTCCCCTAGGTTCCAGGGTGACTGGAAATATTAAATGATATGATTTGGGGGTTTGTCATATACACATCCCCTCTTATGAGAAGTGCAAAGAGTTGCCAAAGCGTCCTGGTTGACCTTGTGTCCACTGGGGGCTCTAGTTACTCCAGGAGAAGCAACTCGAATAATGGTTTCTAAGTGTGGTCCCCAAGCCAGCAATCTCCCCCACCAAATCCCAATTTATTGAATCACAATACCAAAGGAAACTGTTCTTCTGTCTCCATTGGGTGATCACAGTTTTGAGGAGCTTGCCATAGCAAAAGAGACTGAAGTCCAAAGTCCACACAGGATGAACAATACTCAGCAGAGACCTCCAATGGTAGGACAAAAGAGCTTACATGGAATTCAGAGAAAACACACATACACACATACACACACACACCTCAGTTAACCATGGAAAGGAGCCAACCTCTACCCCAGATGGAAGCATGTTTGAACTGAGCTGACCTTTTCACTTCAGTGGAGATGAATGCCCTTGAGCTAGGCTCTGTGTGGTGAGATGAAAAAAAGTTTCATGCTTGAGACTGACACATTATCTCCATTACAGTTGCTGAGGTGGCCAGTCTTGCCATGACAGCCGGTCATCTTGTCCATGGCAGGAAACCTACAGCCTCTTTGCCAAATCACCACCAGCTTCCTGCAGTGTCCCGACCCCTTCCACACTTCACGGAGGAACTCATGAGCCCCCTCAGCACTGATGTGTATCGTGTTACTGCCATTCTTCAGTAGGAGTTATGCGCACGCACAAAGGCATTGGGAGATGGCCAATAGGCACAGTCTCCTCTCTTTAGGTGTTGGGAACCAACTCCAGGCTGGGAGTGTGCCCTGCTGCCCAACGTCCCTAAATGACCTGAGGCAGCATGGTCTGAGGGTTGGGAGATTCTACGTCACCCAGCTATCTCCTGTCCCTCGCCTGCTCTTACCACCTGCGTCATCTTGAGGCACAGTTTCTTGTGTGCTGCGGTCAGCATGGCCAGGGCTCCAGCGGCTGCACTCTGCAGTTTGTCATTATCCTCCCCACAGAGCAGGACCACCAGCTTCAGTCGGTCATTCCCATCAGCCAGGAACCTCTCCTGAACCTGTTCCAGGCAGGGGTGGGACTCAGTGAAAGATGCCCCACAAGATACATCAGTGAAAGATACAGTATTGGGGGAGGATCTAAAAATTGAATTGGGTCTAGAGGTGAAGAATCTCAGGCCCACACTGTCCCTTGCATGAGGGCTCACGCCCAGAAGTTTCTCAGATCTGGCACTGATGTACCATGCAAGCAAGGTGATGCTTGGTCACCATGAGAAGGAGACAGTCATTAGAGAGTCATAATTTGTCCTGTTTCTTTACCATGAAGCCTTATGGTATGCCCCTAATTCGTGTTCTTTTTATATCCTACGATTATCCAGTGGTCAGCAGAGGTCAGTATGGGTTCTACGGACCTGATGACATTCACAGTGAGTAGCACTTCTTCCCTGTCCTGTGGATCTTTAGTGACTACAGATGCTCTGGCCTCTCTTGACCTCCAAGAGCCCTTGCGTTGCTACAACGTTATTTAAGCTTCATTAACTGAGGGAAATGGTACCTTCCACCTCACCCAGACCAAGACTCAGCTTGGGATATTACCCTATGAAAATGTTTCCTTCGGGCTCCTAGAGGGCCTCCGTGTGTTCTGGGGACTACTGGGTTCTCTCTGTGTTATACCATCTGAGGGCCCTGGCCTTGTCCCAAGCCTGGCAATCACACCCTGGTCACCCCATCCCTCTGGAGCCCTGGCCTTACCTCTTTATTGATCACCATGTTACCCATGCACTCAGTGGCTGCCTGCCGTAGCTGGTCATGGTTTTCAAACATGTAGTTCTCGATGTCTGGCAAGGCCTTCTCCTTGAAAATCTTCTGCCTGGAGTGGAGGGGAAGGTTGAGGAAGAATGAACCTTGAGCCATCAACAGTGAGCATGTGAAGGTCATGCAGGGTCCTTCCTCCATCTTCATGAGGTCCCTCTCACATCCTCAGCCTGTACTGAGCCCACCTCCAGAAGAGGCACCGATGGATATAAGCTAACTGACATGACAATTGTCCCCCAGGTACAGCAATGGGCTCTGGCATGAATGTGTCACCCCACTGGAGGGCCCCATTTATTATTAGTGGACAAGGAAACTCTCTCCCTTTTTCCTCTGCACGTGAGGATGAAAGCTACCCTGTGACCATGACAGAGGAGAAAACATCCGCCTGAAAGTTAAGACAACAGAGGGGAGGAGAGAGGAGGGCACTGGCTGGCCAGTAACTTTGTAATCTCTCCATTAAACCACACCTGACTGGTTTATCCCAAACTTAATTGCGTGAGTTGTTACACTTCCTTCATGGGGGAACCAGTCAGGCCAGGTTGTCTGCCACTTAAGACCATAACACAATACAATCCGCCATCCCTCTGCTTCCTATTAACCCTTCCGTATGTCTGGCTGCTCCTGCCTGCTTTAGGAGGCAGTGCCTTTGTGACATTGGCTTTACCCAATCCCTGTGTGCTTTCATAGGGGACCAGCTCAAACTCCTCCTACCCTTGTTTGGTCTTTGATGCTGTCATCCGAGCAGAAGGGTCAGTACGTACAAAGTTTCACCCAAACGCTCAACAGACACTTTTATGTCCCCCTGCCCTCTCCACCTGCCCCACCCTTACCTGAGTTTGTCACTGCGCCCAGACAGGTTAGTGAGTCCTAGGAGAGCCTCGTAGTTCTGAAGGCCATCCCTCTGTGTGTCCAGGAGACGCACGAGGGGCCGTACTACCTCATACACCTGCGGGGAAGACACGGGTCAGGTGAAACACTGGTATTTGCCTGTGTCTTGCTTCTGATGCTTTACATTTCCAAAGCCCTGTCTTTCCCACACTCTGTCTGGTTTAATCTGGGATCCTGAGATTGGGCTAGGTTGTTCCCTTTCACTATGCAGATGAGGCGGCTGAGTTTCTGGTAGGACAGCTGTGCTCATGAGAGGTAGAGCCAGGCCTGATCTCCAGGTATCTCTGATTCATTATACTCACTGTGACAGCACCACGACCCCTTTCTTAGCAGAGGAGAGGAGAAAACCAGGCCCTAAGAGCAATGGTGATGCCTTTATCATCCTTGCTTCTCAAATACCCACCCGCTCCCCAGGGAAGGCGATGTCTGGATTGGAGACAGCAGCAATCTTGGCTAGCGCATGAGCTGCCTTCACCTTGCCAACATCTGTGCCCTCCAAAGCCAGAGGGATCAGGGCCTGCAAGAGAGATCACAGTCAGTAGCCAGCAACAGACATCCAAAGGCCTCTCCCTCCTCTGGCTCCAGCTGCCCTTATCTGTCTGCCTGTCTGCCTGTCTGTCTGTCTGTCTGTCTCATCAGAGATGCACAGCATAATCAGCTCCAGAGCACTGTTCCTATTTAGACAAAGTCTCAAAGGCTCATGGGTATAAGGCTTGGCCTCCAGCTGTCAGTGTGATGGGAAAGTGACTAGACCCTGAGGCATCTGAGCTAATCCTCCCATTAATCCATTGATGAACTCACAGCTGACGGGACTATTAGAAGGAAAGGCCTGATGGGAGGGAGTACGTCACTGGAGTGTGAATTTAAAGGGTGTGTCCTGTTTTTCTCCCTTCCTTTCATCTTTTCTCCCTCCCTTCTCCTTTTCCTTTCTTTGCTCCCACTCCTTCCTGACTCATGAAAGGAGCAACTATGCTTGGCTTCACACTTCACCACCATGAGGTTCTGCCGTATCACTGACCCACAGTGAGCCAATCATGGACCGGAACCTCTGAGAACATTAACCCAAACCAATCTTTCTTCCTCTGAAGTTGCCACCTCAGATATTTGTCATAAAGACAAGGTCTGGCTAACCCAAACACTGTATAAAAGAATTAAATACTTGTCAAGGTTCCCAGTGACTATTAAGGTGATAATGACTACCTTCACTCCTCCCTCTGTATTGCAACAAATAATCAATAGATTGACTTTTACTAGGTGTGGTGCATGGGCCTAAAATCTCATCATGCAGGAGGATAAAGCAGGAAGATTACAATTTCAAGTCCAGCCTGGATTACATACATGCAAGAATTTAGCTAGCCAAGCTGTGATGAAACCCAGTCTCTAATGATGATGATGGTGATGATGATGATGATGATAACAATAATAAATAGTAACTATGTTTTTTACATTTTGCCCAAGCTAAATCCAACCCTAACAGACACCATTTTTGGAGCAGCTATTATAAATTGCATATATCTCTTCTACTTTCCACAACTATCTGAAAAGTAAAACTGTGATTCTTCTCCATTTTTCAGAGGAAGAAATTATAATTCAGAGAGAGAGTAATATGCCCAGGTTTGCACAGCTAAAAAGAAGAAGAGCAAACTCCCACTGCAAGAGAAGTCTTGACTTCCGTGGAGAAGCCCATGGTCTGCCTTCCAGCCGGCACACCAGGGAACATGAGTGGGATTCCAAAGTAGACATCACCAAATCAAGAAGGACCAAGTTTGGTCCATGAATTAGACGATTCAGATAACTGAGTGTATTTGAGGAAGTTAGGATGGTGTAAAACACATGATTTTGGAGTGAGACAAGAGGAACTCATATATGTACATGTGTATGTAGCATGCACAGACACAGGCACGCACACACGCACACACACACACACACACACACACACACACACACACACACACACTATGTCCTTCCCAGTGGATCACCTTCTAGGGCATCAAGGACCTCATCTTGCCTAATTACCTTGCCACCACCTTGAGCTACAATGGTGCCCCGGTCCTTTGGGTTGTCACAGAGTGCCAGGAACACCCTGCAGAGCCAATGACAAGGGAGAATGAATATTCACTGTTCCTCTACCACCTTCCCAGGAATCACAGACAAGCAGTCAGAAACCCCAGCACAACAGTAGACGCCTAGAAAGGGCACGCTGCATGCCCTTGTCTGGAATGTGCCACCTTTAAAGCACAGTGTTTTGGACGTAAGTGGTGGGGGAGGAAATAAGACCAGGAAAGGTTCAAGGAGACATCCAATTCCAACAGTCAACAGCTCCCTGTTGCCCCCAAGCCAGGAGAAACTCTCTTTGTCTACCCCTATAGTCTGACCCTCCTCCCATCAAATACCACCACTACTCATAACACCTAGGACATACCACAGGAGAAACCAAACTATGCTCTTTATCTCTCCATCCTCGCTGCCTTTGTGGACGCTGCTCCTTCTGTCCTGGAACCCTTCCCCTCCCTGCTGTTGGCTGGCTCACTTCAGGACTTCCTTCAGGACTCTGTTGACCTATCATCCCTTCCTGATGCTATCCATTTACCTTCTAGTCTGGGTGGTTGGGACCTATTTATTGCCTGGACTCCAGCCAGCCCTCTGGCCTTCCCTGTCATGGAATTTACCCACTGTACTGTAACTAAGAGCTGCCTGCCTCCCCTCCATGTTACCCTCCATCTCCGAGGAAAAGGTAACTGAAAGGGACAGTGGTCACCTCCACATGCAAAATTCCAACTGTGGTGACTGGCTTTGTCACAGCTCTTCTCCACGTCCTCCTGATCCCCTGGCTTAGTCCCCACTATTAGAATCCCTCCACCCAGCCTCCCGCCTTCCAGTCTCCCCAGCCCACCCTGGCTGCACCTGGCCAGCAGCTCCTTGGTCTGGTCTGTGAGGATAGCACTGTCTGCCTTCACCATGCAGGCCAGGGCGGATATGACGCCCGCCTTCAGGAGCCGTTTCACCCGCATATCTACAAAGTCCTTCTTGTCCTGGAGGAGACAAATGGATGGACATGGGGAAGGGGCCAGTTGTCAGCCCCAGGTTGAGTGGGTCATCAGAGTGGGGAGTGGACAGGACTGGGGCATGGTGCATAATCCCTGGAAGTGTGCTTAAGCCTCACACACATCAGTGGGGCTTGTGTGCACGCTACATCCTTGCCTGGATGAAACACAGCCCCGTGTGTAAAAGGCCATGGAGGCCAAGGGATGCAGCTCAGTGGTAGAGTGCCTGCTCGGCATTCATGAGACACTGAGTCCAGTCTACATCCTAAAGAAGTGAAAACCATAAAGAGAATGAGCTGGCGACACAGTGTCTGGCACAAGGCGACACACTCAGGTTCTGATTGTGACTATGGAAGGGAGAAAGAACGAGAAAAGGGCTTTCTGTGAGGGCCAGCAGTGGTTCTGTGGAGATGGTGTCATGGCCTGGCTAAGTCCTCTCCTCTTCTGTCCACATTCCATTTTGTAACACAGGTATGACATGTATCATTTCCTAAAATCCAAACAATCTCACTAGCTGGGAGTATTTTTCCGTATCCGCTCGTATACAAATGACACACAAACACATATCGTTGTGTGAGGGTCATCACCATAATATCCTTGTATTATGAATTTTGTGACATTTGACCAAGAACCTGTGTTCCTCTTCCGTTCCTACCTGGCACTCCTGTCCCTAAGTCCAGATATCCCAGAAAATCAAGTTTATAATATGAAAGCATGAAACAATACATGAGTGTCCACGAAATCAGCAACAAATGTTGCAAAATGTTTATCTAGGTCTGTTCAATCAGATTAAAAAATTGTCAGCCATTTCCCCCACCCCCACAGTCAGAAATTAAAAGACAGAGATCATGAGCGCCACCTAGTGGGGAAAATCTATTCTTGTCATCCTCAAGCAGCACAATGCATCCCACATTGTGGGGGGGAGGCTGACTGCACAGCTCCTTGCCTGAGCTGCCCTGTACCCACCTTGGGGTGCTCCTCTGGCACATGTTGCTTGGAGAACTTGGCCAGCTGCACCAGCTCAGGGACTACCTCTTTGACATCGTAACTGTTGGTGCAGTTTACCAGGGTGTTGGCCACGGAGTACAGGATGGTCTTGTCACTGGTCTGAAGGCCCCGGGGTCAGGAAGAAACAGAAAGGAGTCACTGGAGTGGTATATCTGTGGAAACCTCCAAGCTGCTCCTAGTGGACCCCCTCCCGCACTTCCAGAACCAGGCACTGCGTGGGACCTCAGGGTCTCACTGCCTAGGCATGTTATCCTGCCATCTTGACAGGACAGAGTCGTTGAGTCCTACAAGCAGGCAAGATGAGGCCCATCCAATGAAAGAGCCAACCCAGCTCCACCAGGGAGGGTGGAGCCAGCTGAGCCCTAAGCACCAGGGCCAGGCATTCCTGCTGAGCTTAGAGATCTGGACCACTCTTGCCTTGGCCAACTCGAACATGGCCTGCAGAGCAGGGATGTCCTGGACAAAGTCGTCCTTCACGTCGGCATCCAGCGTGAGGTAGGCCAGGCCCTCCACAGCCCAGCGCCGTGTCCGGGTGTCTATGGCGGTGTTGCACAGCCACCTGGAAGTAGAGGAGTGGGAAAACCAATGGAGAAGGAGCCGGGGCTCTGGAAAAGAGACACTCGGATTCAGGAAACAGAGCAGGGTCTTTTCCCACCTGACATCGCTGAAGCACACCCCCAGAAACCCCTCATAGAGACCCAGGAGGAAGCAGAGGGTCCAGGAGGCATAACTCTCTTACTTTCGACACTGCTTGGCCAGTTTCTCCGTTGACCCTTCAGCAAACTGTCTGAGGCCATAGTCTGAGCCCCCAGCTGAGCCAAGTTTGCAGAGCCCCTGTGGAGAAGGGACACGGAAGGATCAGCAACACTGAGGCCCGAGTCAGGCCCTGTGGCCCTGTGGTCAACACTGTCCCCTTTTCTCTGCCTGAACACACCTCTGTGTCATGCCACCTCTCCTGAGATGCCTTCCCCAATGCCCTAGGTTAGGGAGGACACCCCACAAAGCCCCAGGTCCTCGCCATTTTGGCATCTTCAATGTTCTGTAAAGTCCGCACAAGAGACGGCCTGAGAAGGCGAAGAAGTCATATCGTGTGGGCAACATATTCAGACATACAAAATCTAACCCAGGGGTGGGGGTGGGGGAATAGACTTTTGTCAGGAAAAGAACAGTGTCCTCTGGAGCAGAAAAGCCACCATGCCACTGCAGAAGAGGGTCAGGTGTGATGGTGCAAGAGTTTATCCACAGCACTCAGGAGGCAGGTGAATGAATCCCTGTGAGTTCAAGGCCAGCCTGGTTACCCTCCTCACTCTCTGTTCCCACAGCCCTATCACTCTGTCTGCAGGGTAGACCTGAGGGGTCCCTGGGACATGACCCCATGCACTGACTGGTTTTATGTCAACTTGACACAAGCCAGAGTCATCAGAAAGAAAGGAGCCTCAACTGAGAAAAATGCCTCCATGAGACCCAGCTATAAGGCATTTTCTTAATTAGTGATTAATGGGGGAGGGCCCAGCTCATTGTGGGTGGCACTATCCCTGGGCTGGGGCCATCCAGGTTCCTGCCCTGTTGGAGTTCCTTTCCTGACTTCCTTCAATGATATGGAAGTGTAAGGTGAATGAACCCTCATACTTAAAACCTCCCTAACTTGCTTTTCTGTCGTGGTGTTTCATCACAGCAATAGTAACCCTAAGACCACACACACCCCACAAGGATGGGGCCATGTCTCCTTCATCCTGGTGTTCCTGGCACTCGGCACCCAGCCCACTCACCACCAGGGTTCGGATCTTGATCTTCTCATTCTTTGTGGTCTTGTAGATCTGCTTGAGAAGCGACACACCATTGGTGATGATGAAGGTCGCCCGGCTGAGCTTGGTGGAGGCGTGGATGAGGGCCTCCACAGCCACCAGCTGATCTGCCTCGCGCTCCGAGCCACAGAGCGCCACCATCATCTCCATCACGCCTTTCATGCCCAGCAGCTGATTGCCCAGGTCAAAGGGCCCCTGCAAGATCCCCGACACTGTCTGGATAGCATTTACATTCTTGTCCATGTCCTGGGGATCAAACTTGCTCCTGAAACATAGGACAAGGATGATCAAGAGAAGCGGCCCAAGGGGGCAGAAAGAGCAGATGTGGAGGAAGATGTGAATTTGCCTCAATTCGTGAGTTATGTGACATTGGGCAATTCACTGACCCATTCTGAGTCTCAGCTTCTCGGTCTATAAATACAGAGCATATTTACTGTTGTTTCGTTATTTCTTTGTTGTTGTTTTGTTTTGTTTTTTTGAAACAGGGTTTCTCTGTGTAGCCTTGGCTGTCTTGGACTCGCTTTGTAGACCAGGATGGCCTTGAACTAATAGAGATCTGCCTGCCTCTGCCTCCCCAAGTGCTGGGATCACAGGCACGTGCCACCACGCCTGGCTTCTTACTGTTACTTCTTAGAGATACATGACATCACAGCTAGCCACAGGGTATGTGCCCCTGGCAGGACAGTCTGACCTTGGGACTTGACCTGCAGGAAGATAAATTATTGGGCAGAGAAGGAAACAGCGCTGAGGGCTGCACTGGCCTGCAATGCATTCACCCCGAAGCTTCCCCCTTGATGAGTGTTGAGCTGGGGCACTCTGAAGAGTCATTTCAAGTTGGTGTGAGTGACAAGTCATTAGACGCTGATTTCACCAGGGAGGGTGAGATAGCCCCCTCAGCTGAGGCGAGGACCAATAAGAGGCCACAGCTGACTGCTAACAGTCAACAGCTCCGGCCTTCCCAACCTGGGGCAACAGCACATAGCCACAGCCACACACAGGCCCACGAGGCACCTGACAAGTGACCTTTGTCAAGTGAGGGTGCAGTGTTCACTTTGGGCTATCAGGAGATGAGACAGTGGGGGGCCACCCCAAAGTAGGGGTGGGATAACCAGATATTGGAAAAGGGCTTGGCGAAGATCAGACTTATTTTATGTCTCCACACCAAAGCCAAACAAGGACGTAATTGGGGACCCAGGTGCACACAGGGCCCCAGAGTTAAAAGCAGTGGATGTATCTTACAGACACTGGTGCGGGCACAGTGGCCTCCTCACACCTGCCTTATTCCAGTAGTCCCAGTGGACCAACAAGCTGCCTTCCGCAGAGCTCAGGGACATGGACCACTCAGGACAGGACACTCTACGAGCATGCGTTCCTCAAGTACACAGAGGGCCTACATGGGAACTTCTGACCACAGCACTTCCTGTATCTGCCAGCCCTTTCCTTTATTTGGGGAGCCACCTCCTGACCAAGGCTTGCTCACAGAGCTTCATCTTCCACTTAGCTGGAGCTTGTGTGTCACTGAAAATGTTTTGCCTATAGCCCTTTAGGTCCAGACTTCTTTCTAAGGATTATGGAACTGAGACTCAAGTCCAAGGACAGAGGGACTCCTGAAGTTAGTAGCTCTAATAGGCAGCTTCAGCCATGAAGAGCTTGAAGAGCCAAAGTCAAGGTTAGCAGGACTACAGGACTAGAAGGGAGCGGGCAGGCCTGAAAGTTCAGGATGGTTCTTCATTTGGCAGTTGAAAAAAATAAATAAATACATAGGCGATAGGAATGTATGAATTTGCCAGGCATAGTGGATCATACCTTTCATCCTAGCACTCGGGAGGCAGTGGCATTTGATCTCTGTAGGTTTGAGGCCCACTTGGTCTACATAGAGAGTTCTAGGCCAGCAGCAGCTACATAGTAAAACCTTTTCTTAAAAAAAAAAAAAAATGAGTTTGTCTTACAAAATCTAAACTATCTCTTCCCTGGCCCTTTATAAGAACAGTGTGCTACCTAGGAGAGAAAGGACACAGTGGAAAGGTGGTGTCTTTGCCCACCTAGGACCAGCTTCCTAAGCCACACCCCAAGTTCTGTGGCATGGGTAGTGTTCCAGAAATCTGGACACTGTACAGACTGGAGAATCACTGGAACTAACAAACAGCTGCATGGAAGCGGTGGGGGGCGGGGGGTCATGTGAGGAGAAAGAAAGACTCTTCAGTGGTGATGGAGCAAGGTGTCCCCCATTCTGGGAACTGCAGTCCCAGCAGCAGCCAGCACCACACGCTGCCATGTGAGTGCGGCCTCCTAGAAATACCCTCTAACCCCAGTCAAGCCATCAAGCCATTCTGATGTCTGCATCCCAGGCCAGAGTGACTGTGACTTGATGGGAGACCCCCAAGCCACAATTACCCAGCTACCCAAATACCCATCCTACTTAGGGGTAATCAATTGCTATTATTTCTGTAAGTTATTGAAGGCGGGGTGACTGGCTACACAGCCACGGGGGACTGTGGGGAACTCACGTGATATACTCCTCGCAGATCTTGCGGAAGTGGTCGCGCTCTGGGTCGCAGCGCAGGTCGTCGTAGAGCTTGTTGATGAGGATGGAGGCCAGCATGCGGGTGTTGTCGGTCAGGGGCAGGCAGGAGGGCAGGTCTGGAACCTGCCCCACCACCTTCAGGATCTTCCTCAGACCTAAGGGCGATAATAGCAAGAGTAAGATTCCTGAGGGTCTCTGTCCGCCCTCAAAAATGTCTCATAGCTAGCTCCCCACCAACTTAAGACAGCACATGGCCTCTCCGGGGTTCAGGGCACTGAAGAGGTGACCAGAGGCCCTGGCCTTTCATCTGACTGCGCCTGTGAACAAGGCAATATTTCCACCATACTTAAACTCAGCACCGGTTAATCTCCATTTATGGGTTGTATCTGAACTTCCTTATATATGACTTCATATTAGCTTTTTCCCCAGCCTCAGTATCTTCATTTATAAAAGTAAACAAACAAACAAACCCACAACCTATTTTATAGACTTGAGAACTCAGTCAGATAATGTACAGAAAAGGGCCTAGCCCCCATCTGGAAGCATAATCCCTCTTCAAATGTCTACCATGTCTTTTAGTAGTTATTATCGTTATCTCTTCTTTTTTTAATTTTATTTTATTTTATTAATTACACTTTATTCACTTTGTATCCCCCATAAGCCCCTCCCTCCTCCCCTCCCCATCCCACCCTCCCTCCCCGTTCTTCACGAATGCCCCTCCCCAAGTCCGTTATCTCTTCTTGTTTCCTCATTGGAGAAGTTTCAGTGGCCTCCTCCACCAGACTAAATTCAAGATTCACATGTTTATTGAGCAAGTAGATTAATAAGCGAGCCCCTTATCTGTCCTGCCTTTAACATGGTGTGGGGAATGGGCACATAAACATGGCAGGAAAGTTCTATGGGTGCTGAATGCTAAAGGATGCAATTGAGGCAACTGGCTGCAACAGAGCTACAGAGATGGGGAGTGCTTCCCTAGCATACAAAAGGCCCTGATTTGATCCCCATTCCCCTGAAAGGTGAGTGGACAGAGTCAGATGGAGGGCCAGGACCTCTTGTGCCCTCTCCAGATTGTACTGAGCACTTCCTTAGTGCCAAGGGGCTTGTGTGTGTCCCCTGATCCAGGCCTAACAACTGTCATACTGCTTAGCAATCAGTTCCGTCTTTCAGAAGGCAAGGATGCTACCCATAAGCTTGTAGCCAGCCAGGTGACAGAGAGGACACCTTCTTTGTGATGTCTGGTCTCAAGCCTACAATGTTAACTGTCATGCCATGAAGCCTCTGTGATAGCTAATGTCAAAGGTGGCTTGGAGGTGGGGAGACCTTGAGTGACACCCAGTCAGAGGAAGGAAGGGGCATCCAGGCAAATGCAGGAGGTGTGGGGCTGTGGGTGCTGGGAGGGAGCTGAAAGTGGTTGACAGCAATGTTATACCATGTCTATTTTACCGCTTGAAGAAAAACCTCCACTTCCTCTCAATTCCTCTCAGCACACCTGACACCAGCTGGGTGTGCTACAACTCAGCTCTGACACTACCAGGGGTTGGCACAGACCCCACAGACTGAGGGTTTGGTCCCACAAGGTGGCCTTCACTGCAGATGGAAGGCCCAAGGCTGGGTCCCAGCTGTCCTCCAACACGCCTACAAAACAGACGCCCTCGGGATCCCCTTTTCAGGCCAGCAATATGTGAGAACAGCTCGTGGAACTCAGGAGAACAGTTTACACCATGAGTTGGTAGAAAGGAAGAGGCAGGAAGGGCTGGGTGGAGGAGGGGTGCAGGATGAGGCATACAGAAAGAGTGTGGCGCTCCAGAATCTGCAGATGCCGCTGTCCCTGAGCCCACGCACGTCCATCACCGCCAAAGCCCTGACCTTCCTCAGGGAGGGGTGAGTTTGCACTTTGCTTTGTTGAAACAGATGTAGCCACGATTCATGACATCGCTGCCTCAGTCTTGGGCTCTCTCCCTTCCCTGAGGTCAGAGGTGGGGGTGGGGGTGGGGAGTGCAGATGGGCAGAGCAGAAATTTCTAATCACATGGATAGCTTCCCTGAAACCTCCCTTCGCTCCTTTCAGACTTCCCGGAGGCACCCTAGCCACTAGTGTCATCAGAGCTTAAAAGATGCTCAGTGAAAATCACAACAGTTTTATGAGTTATGTGCCAGGAAAGTGAAGAGACCAAACACATATTTCTTATTATGTCTCAAACTCACACACACACACAAAGGGTTCAGTAAGGTAGGGCCTGAGGAGCCAACCCAGACCCTGAAGCCTGGTTCTCTGCAGTGCATATGGTCAATCGCTCCCAAATCCACCTCTTACTTTCCTTCCATCCTACCTCTGGACCCCTCTCAGTTCTCTCCTATTAGAACACTCAGGGCCTCCCCCTTGTCAGTCTTTGCCTCTTCCCCAAGCCAGGAGCTTGCTTTGAGCTTGATCCTCTCACAGCACCCTCACTGGCCTGTCTGAGTCACACACATGCCTCACATTGTGGCTTTGCACTGCTCCTACTCAGGTTTCTAAATCCACTTTGTTTTTACCTGAGTGCTATTCAGTTTAGTGCCTTCCAAGCAAGGAAGAGAATAAGGAATGTCCCTGTTCCATAAACCATATACTTTATCCTAGTGCAGAGAAAAAGGTCAGTGCTGTTCGACTTGCAGAATATATGCAGAGACGAGAACTGGGATACAGGGTGCAGGACAACAGTCTTTTTTTGTTTTGTTTTGTTTTGGTTTGGGTTGGGTTGGGTTGGGTTGGGTTTTGGTTTTGGTTTTTTGAGACAGGGTTTCTCTGTGAAGTCCTGGCTGTCCTGGACTTGCTTTGTAGTCTAGGCTGGCCTTGAACTCACAGAGATCCTCCTGTGTCTGCCTCTCGAGTGCTGCATGCTGGGATTAAAAGCCTGCGCCATCACGCCCAGCTCAATGACAGTGGTTCTTAAAGCACTGTCAGGGTTAAAATCTAAGGACTTGCATGTGCACTGTGTTGGGTGGATGTGTAGGGATTGCGATATCTAATGGAAATTGACTTGGGCTTTCTAGAACAAGTTGTAGGCTATATATCATAAAGCCCGTGGGAGAATTAACCACAGCAGATTCGAAAGCCACAAGTATGGTTCCTGCGCAAATAGAGCCGATTCAGGAGACAAGGCAGGCACATTCAGACTTAGTGACTATCTGCTATGGAGAGCATTTCCTCTCTGCTTCCTGTGAAGCACATGTGATGTCATCTTCTCCCCTGTGGAAGACATTAAGTGTTTTGCCAACTGTGAGACTTCAGGCATGCTACCCCATCATTGGTAGAGTCCTGTTTATTACGCTCAACTCTGTCTTTTAGGTGGCTCTCTCCAATGTTCTGGGGTGCCAAGCATTTCCTGGGTATGTTCTTGCCCTTAATTCAGAGCCAAGACCTACCTGCTCCATTGACCCCACGGGATCCTGATACACCAATGCCTACCCTGCCCCCTTCACTTGGCTGAAGACACTCTCCAAACACCCTCCCTCCTCTCTCTACACAAAGACAAGTATCTGAGCCTACCCTAACGGCACAACTGAACCCCTCCTCGCCCCATCTCACCGTTATCTACGACATAGATGGTGCGTGAGTTGTCATGAATGGACAGGTCCTTCCTAGGGACGTTCTTGTTGAGCAGGTTCAGCGCCTGGTCTCTGCCTTGCCCAGACACCTTCTTACTGACCAGCATGTCCAGCAGGTGGCTAGTGATCTGCTTCAGGTCCTTCTTGGTGTCTGAAGAACAAAAAAAAAAAAAAAAAAAAAAAAAGAAGAAGAAGAGCAAACAGAGATGATAGATCATTTCACATTGAGAGGATCAAGAATGGCAGAAACTTCTAGAAGGATTCTGGAAGGACTGAACCCACTGTTTTCTGAGTATCTCAGCTTGAGTATGAAACATCCTCCTGTCAGTCTTTTAGGTGGGATGCTTATCGATTAATGGGCTATTTGGAGGGTTCCTGGAACCTGTAGGAGGCAGGGTCTGGTTGAAGGAAGGAGGTCACTCGGGACAGATTCTTGGGAGCTGTTTCTTATTCCAGGTAGTGCCTCTATCTCTCTCCTTCCTTCCTTCCTTCCTTCCTTCCTTCCTTCCTTCCTTCCTTCCCCTCTTCTTTCTCCCCCCTCCTCTTCCCACACACCACGAGGTGAGAAGCCTCCTCCTATGCCTGCCCCCACAACATTCTGTCTGAAATAAGCACTGGATAAACCCTCTTAGCACTCGGGCATCCTTCCTGAAGCTACTGCCTGGGGCTAGAGTCTCAGTCATTCAAAAGTACCTGATACAGTGAGCATGTAAATCTCCCCAGACAGTGCTGCCCATCTCACACCTCCTCCAGCAAAAGCAAAGGAATCCCCAAGCAACACCCTCGAGGCTCACTCTGGCCACTGAACATCACCTCCTACAAAACCCTCTTTGTCTTCAATAGCACCCGTTCTTGGAAAGCCCCTTACTGCCAGGCAAATGACTGGAAGTGATCCAGTTTATTATGACTTTAATAAACTTTTTGTTTTGTTTTGGTTTTCGAGACAGGGTTTCTCTGGGTTGTCGTGGCCATCCTGGAACTCGTTCTGTAAACCAGACTGACCTTGGACTCAGAGATTCACCTGCCTCTGCCTCCTTAGTGCCAGGGCATGCACCATCACTTCCCAGCTAATAAACTTATTTTTGAAATGCCTTCCAGGGAGCTGGAGAGATGATTCAGGAATTGAGAGCACTGGCTGTTCTTACAAAGGAACCCGGGGTTCAATTCCCAGCACCCACATGGTGGCTCACAATCATCTGTAACTCTAGTTTCAGGGACTCCAACCCTTCTGACTTCTACAGGCACCAAGCACATACATGGTACATGTACACATACTCAAAGCATCCATACATATAAAATAAAACAAATAAATCTAAAAAGAAAACATTTCCAGGAAAAAAAAAAAAACAAAAACAAAAACAAACTGTGTTCTTCTTTCAGACACTTCATTTCACACAGATTCAGACATGCTGGGAAACTGGATCCCAGCCTCTGTCTGTGATGCCAGGAATCCCCTGCTCAGTGGTGGACGCTGAAGGGCAAGGGCCTTTTCCTGGCTCTGCCCTGACTTCCTGAAATTTAAAGAGATTTTAGCAATTCTAGAATGGAATACAAAGACAGACAGGAAGTGAAGGTTTCTACATTATGTCAGATAAGCAACAGAGGGCAAAGGGGGAATTTGCTGAGCGGGGAAGGAGAGGCATAAGTTGACACTGGAGTTTGTCTTCAGATGATTGGTCATGAAATAGCAGGCTCATTCTTGTCTTATGTGGTTCCTCTGCCACACTAGCTCTAGGTTGGTCATGTGACTTGAGGACACAACTAGAGGTTTAGAAAGTGCTTACTCGCTGGGCTGGTCCATTTATAATTCAGTTATCATATCATATGGAAATCACAGCTAGCCACTAGAGAGGCCATGGGGGGAAATATCAAGGCTTCCAAGCATTCTCTTCAGCTAACCAGCAACCATCCAAGTGAAGTCATCCTGGGCCTTCTAAAAAACATGGCTCAGAAAAGACAAGCAACTCCCAACTCCTTAGCCATAACAGCAGGGCCAATCAAGAACCCAGGCCCCTGCTGCTGGTAGCTGGTGGTGGCAGCTCACACCTTTAATCCCAGCACTTGGGAGGCAGAGGCAGGCAGATCTAAGAGTTCGAGGCCAGCCTGGTGTACAGAGGAAGTTCTAAGACATCCAGGGTTACACAGAGAAACACTGTCTTTAAAAAACAAAAACAAAACAAAACAAAAAAAGCAGAGAGAAATAGAGAGAGAGAAAAGACAATGAAGAAAGAAGAGCTTCAGTTATCTTCATAGTCCCTGGTATGGAACACCCATCTCTAGGAATTTGTCACAAAAAAAAAAAATTACTTCCAGTTGCAAATAAAGATGAAAATAAAGAATGAAGTGTTGAGGTATAAAAATTTTATCACCTCAATACCCAATGACACAGAACCGCTGATGAATTATGGTATGTACATGTATATGGAACTATCATCAACTTGTTTATAATATAGTTTTTGAGTGACCCCGACAGCTAAGGAAGAACTTATGAAATATTGTTTAGGACTTCTATATTCAGGAAGAAAGCCAGAGGGTTTTGTTCTTGTTGTTGTTTTTGGTTTTTGGTTGGTTTGGTTGGTTAGTTGGTTGGTTTTGGTTTGGTGTGTGTGTGTGTGTGTGTGTGTGTGTGTGTGTGTGTGTGTGTGTTTTGAAAACAAATATAAGCCAGGCATGATGGTACATGCCTTTTATCCCAGCACTCAGGAAGTAATAGCAGATGGATCTCTGTGAGTTCAAGGCCAGCCTGGTCTACACAATGTGTTTCAGGACAGCTGGGAATACATTGTGAGACCTCAATGCCCACAGATAGAACAGAAATACAAAATTAGTTATTTAAAATTACTGGGCTTGGTGGTGCACACCTGTAATCCCAGTGCTTGGGAGGTCGAGAGCAGAATTTGGGAAGTTCAAGGCCAGCATGGACTACATAGAGAGACCCTATGTAAACAGAAAGAAATAATAATATTAAATGATGTGTGTGTCCATTACTTTTCTCAAAACTGGGTCAGAACACCTGGTTAAAAAAACTGGGGAAGAAAGGGAAGTGGAGACTGCATCGGACATGGACTCACTTACCAGCTTTTCGATCACTTTCCCCTGTTGGGACTGCCTTGTTAGGCCACAGGGGAAGAGGACATGCTCAGTCCAGATGCAACTTGATGACCTGGACTGAATGGAAAAGAGAGTTCCCCTTCTCTGAGGAAAAGAGGAGGGGGAAGAAGGGAAGGGAGGTACGGTGTGACTGGGATGGGAAGAGGGATGGGGTAATAACAAGGATGTAAAGTGAATTTAAAAAAATCCTCACAAGCCATTTAAAAAAAAAGAAAAGAGTGTTAGAAAGGAAGGAAGGAAGGAAGGAAGAAAGGCAGGAAGGAAGGAAGGAAAGAAGGAGGGAAGGAAGGCAGGAAGGAAGGAAGGAACCGGGGAAGAAGGAGGGTTCTATTTTGGTTCATGGTTTGAAGTGGCTCATGGTGGGAAGGGCATTGAAATGTGGCAGTGGAAGCAGGCTCAAATCTGAGTGGATCGGAACAGTTGGGAAAGACAGAGACACAGCTAGAAAACCTCAAATCCTTAGGCCTTTGACCTCCCAAAGTTTCCATAACTTCCCAAAACAGCTGCACCAACTGGAGACTAAAAGTGCAAACACACAAGCCTGTGTGGGACATTTCACACTCCAACAACAATGCCGGTAACACTGATCTCACTCAGGAAGACAATCTTAAAATACCTGCAGCAGAATTCCTTTTTTTTTTTTTTTTTTTCTGAGACAGAGTATCTCTGTATAACCCGAGCTGTCCTGGAACTCACTGTAAACCAGGCTGGCCTCAGACTCACAGAGATCCGCCTGCCTTTGCCTCCTGAGTGCTGGCATGTTTACACAGATAAGAAAAGACAGTGGCTTATCTGAACGAGTACAGGGTTTGGTTTAGGAGACTATTTTTCCTCCTTACAGATTTCTGTATCTCCGAGTCTCCCCCAGTGAGCTTCTATTACACTGTGGTGAAATATGAATAACATAAAATTTACCATTTTAACTATTCTTAAGTATAAAAATGATTGGCATTGGGCTGGAGAGATGGCTCAGTGGTTAAGAGCACTGTCTGCTCTTCTAAAGGTCCTGAGTTCAATTCCCAGCAACCACATGGTGGCTCACAACCATCAGTAGTAAAATCTGATGCCCTCTGCTGTCCTGAGACACACATGCAGGCAGAACACTGAATAAGTAATAAATAAATCTTTAAAAAAATATTTAAAAAAATGATTGGCATTGAACGCAGTCACACTGATATGAGCCATCACCACCATAGCACCTGCCAGTCTGAAAAACTGACAACTCTGTACTTATGCCACTTTCATTTTTGTAACCCCAACATGCATACTAAAATCAAACCAGGGCACCTCTGCACAGAGGAGATGCCAGCGTAAGGTGGCTCTCTCTTGGAGGTCACATGAACCAGAACAGAAGAATATCTCCTACCTAAGACCAAGGCCTCCTCCTTCCCTCGATGCTCTCTCTTGTCCTCCCCAGACAGGGCATCAATGATGGCCTGGAGCAGGTTGCAGACAGCCAGGGACATCTCTTCATTCTCCACGGCCATGAGGCTGCAAATCCTGTCTATGCGCACTGTGTGCAGGATCGCTGTGGCCTAGACCCCAACAGGAACTGAGTCAGCAACCCTGCCCCTCCCTTCTGTTTGGCATCCAGGTTAAGAGGTGAGTGGTGACTGTCCTACCCACTTCCTGCTATAGGGAACTGGGGCCCGCAGACTGGAAAACCTTCAGGAGACTCTGAGCTATGTCACCCTGTAATGGAGTCCTGGGGCATTGAGTCCATGCATGTGCAGGACCTCACAGAGATGTAAGTGTAGAAAACACACTAAACTCAAAGGCTGAACATGAAGAAACATGTATTACAATGCTTTTGCATTCACCTCTCCCTGTAATACACTTTCAACACCATCTTTGCTTAGTCAAGTCCACTTTTAGCTTCCAGGCAAAGGGCCTAGAGCACTCTTGAGCCATGCTTCATATGACCCAGGCTGGGAGACAGGGGGACCCTTGAGGCTCTGACAGGTACATCCCTGACCATGTACCACTCTCTGCCTCCTTGGACCAATTGCCATCTGCACCACGTATCCCAATCCCCTGGCTCTCACCCTAGCTCTGTGGCCACTGCACATGCCAGACAGGGTTCGCACGGCAGCTAGCACCAGCTCGGGCTTCTTGGTGTCCATAAGCTGCAGCAGCAGGCCCACCCCATTGCTCTGGAAGATCCTCTCGGCCCCTGCTTCCTCACGGCCCAGGACAATGAGGTTGTTGGCAGCCTGAGGGAGAAGCAATGAAGGTTGTTAGGAAGACAGATGGAGGCCTTGACTATGAACCCAGTATGCTGACTGTGTCTTCAGAGCATTGGTATATCCTCCTAAATCCTACTCCTGGAAACGGTCCAAGAACATAATTAAAAAAAAAAAAAATCAAAGCAACTTGCTAAGGACCAAGTTGATGAAATATGCCACAGCCAGAGAGGTCATAGATGCAATAAAACCACATGAAACAATGCTGACAAGTGGAATTAGGATCATAGATTCACGTAGTGTGTGGTGATGTTAAAATAAAACTGTATGCCTGTAATGGATAGAGAATGGCTGGGAGAGGGTGGAAATATCAATGTTTTGGTTTTTTGTTTGTTTGTTTACTTGGTTTTTTTGTTTGTTTGGTTGGTTGGTTGGTTTTTTTGAGACAGAGTTTCTTCGTGTAGCCTTGGACTCGATTTGTAGACCAGGCTGGCCTCCAACTCACAGCAATCTGCCTGCCTCTGCCTCCCTGAGTTCTGGGATTAAAGGTGTGCTACAACATGCCTGGCTGACATGACTGTTTTTACATGTTAATTAAAGTCACGTTCTTTTTAACGCGGCTGTTGCATGTTTTGGTTTCCTTTTTTTATCTGTTCCAGGGGCGTCTGAAGCTGTGGGGTTTCTCAGGAGAGTGGAAGATGGTGGGCACAGAGCGCACTAAACAGGGTTCAAAAGCCCAGGGGTTTGAATTCAGGTTCCGCTACTGGCTCGCTCCAGTCCTAGCATCTCTGTGACATCTAAAAAATGAGGCAGTTGAGCCAAGGGACTAGGAAGTCACCAAGTCTCTTCTCACTCTGATGCCTTCCCACTTGAGACCTACGAACCTTCAAGGGGAAGGAAGAGAACCAGAGAATCCCCGGCTGAGAAGACTGCAGGAGAGGGAGAGGGGAACAGAGATGGGGAGTTGGTGGGTAAGAGGCTGAGCTGTCCGGTGAGTGTGGCCTGAACGTTGCTCTCAGCTCAGGGCTTTGTGCTTTTCCAAACGAAGCTGCTTTATCCACAGCAACTCATTAGGTCCTCAGAGGAGCAAAGTACATTTTTGGATCATGTGAATTCATTGACCCACACAAACACTACATCACCACCTTTCCCCACAGGCATCATAGAACAAGTTCTTTTTTTTTTTAAGATTTGATTTATTTATTATGTATACAGTGTTCTGCCTGCAGGCCAGAAGAGGGCACCAGATGGCATTATAGATGGTTGTGAGCCACTATGTGGTTGCTGTGAATTGAAGTCAGGACCTTTGGAAGAGCAGCCAGTGCTCTTAACTGCTGAACCATCTCTCCATTAATGACCCCCCTGACCAACTTCTTATACAAATAAGTACAAAACATTGCAATGTTCACTCAGAGACTTGAAAAAAACATGAGAAAGAACAAAAGATTTTGGTTATGATGACTACTACCTGTAAATATTTTAATATATCACTGTGACCTCTTTGCAGTATTTCTAAATGAAGCAAAACATTATTTGAATGTGTCAGTGTTTCTTGGGACCAAAATTATAGTGAGGCAAGTTAGACATTCCCCGTAGGTGCAAAATTTAAGGAGGCAACAAAAAGCCCGACATCCACATAAGTAATGTTTAATGAAATACTGTTTGATCAAAATCAAGGCCAAAAATTTCAATGGACAAAATATGTGATTTTTTTTTAAACAAAGATGTTATCTGGCCCCTGCTGTTCAACTTACCACAATGGCTTCACCCTAATCTAGTGTTGGATTTCTACTTTCTTTGTTTGTTTCTATTTTTATTATGGGATGCATAGGGTAAAGACATCCTGCAGGACTTGGTTCTCTTCTTCCATCATGGGAATCAAGATTGTCAGCCTTGGCAGGAGGCACCTTTACCCAGTGGCATCTCACTGGTCACGTCATGTAGCCTAGCCTGGCTTCATGGGTCTCAGGTAGCAAAGGCTGGCTTTGAACACCTAATCCTCTTACCTCCAGAAGCTACATGTTGGGGTTAAAGGCATATGCCTGGCTTAGAATTACTGCCTTTTAGAATTATTGTAGAAAATGAAAACGCCAAAGAACAGAGAAGCAAACCTAGGGTGGTGCTCTCAGACGGGATTCTGCATGGTTGCTCTGTGGCTGTGTTGTCCATCTTGTTTGTGCCTGTGGCTTTAGCACACTTAAGAGTTTGTTTAGTGGAACCCGGGAACACATTTCCTATTGAAAGGGTTAAACTAACTTTGTAACCTATATGTCTTCTAAAGCCTATAGTTTTGAGTTTTAGGTTCAGGTTAAGCTAAAGCCTCTTAGTACCTTTCCAGAGAATGGAGAAATGTGACCCTGTCTGTGAGGACAGATAGAAAAAAAAGCAAGCAAGCAATGACCTTCACTCAGCAAAAAGAAAAACTCCTGTCTTTGAGATAACGTTTCTTAGCAACGAACCCAGACTTCTTCTGAGTAGCTTTTGACCTGCAGCCAAAAGTCCGCAGCCCCTAATTTTCAAGGATGAGCTAACCACCCCCACCTTCAATTGCAGCTGCAACCACACTTGGCAGGACTGGCCAAGCTTGAGCACCTAAGACTAACCAATTGTCTTACTTTATAGCTTCCTCATCCAATCCTAAATTGCCAAAACTGCAACTTCAAATTTCCCGCAATTTTTCTTTTAAAAATCTAAAGGCCTTTGTCTGCTGGTGCCACTCTTTGCTGACCAGCAGGGGTGACCCCATTGCGCAATGGTTAATAAACCTCTTGCTTTTGCAACGAGTCGTGGTCTGGGGGAGTTTCTGGGAAGGGCGATCTTGAACTCATGAGCTGTGAGATCCCAGGTATTACACTATTTATTTCACATTTTTATGTTGCTGTGTAGCCTAGGCTGGCCTTGAACTCATGATCAGCCGGACTGAGATTGCAGACAGGCTCTACCGTGCCTGGGTGTTTTCACTCTGGTGTGTGTACTGTACAAAATGTGTAACTATTACCATATGTGGCTGTTGTAGCGCCGTTTTCTAATGGGATTAACTCTGAGCAATGCTTCTCCGAGTTCCCGGAAACCTGCCTCTAACCTCCCAGGCCTTGAAACTGGAGCTGCGTGTGGAGAGTGACCCCTGCTGGCAAACTTGACACGTCACTCACCTTCTCCCGCTTATCAGCCTCGCTGTTTTCGTTCAGAAGGATTTCAAACATCGTCTGTACCCTGGAGTCTGTGGAAAACTGCACCCGGAGCTGAGGAGACAGGACAGAGCCCAAAGTGAGGCAGGCAGCTGGCCCACATCATTTCTACCTATTCTTCATATATTCAACTTAGAAAACAGAAGATCTACTCTGGACCCTAGTGCATCCATTCATTTATTCACTGAACAAATGGTAAGGGATGGAGGTTAGTGAGACGTCTTAGCTGGGAAAGGCTTTTACAGAGCAAGCCCGGAGATCTGAGATGATCCGAAAAACCTCCATAAATGTGGAAGGAGAAAACCAACATCCACCTCCTCTGACCTCCACACCCCCTTATAAAAATAATTAGTGATGATAATGCTAATAATAATAACAGTAATAACAACAACAATAATCATTTTAACATTAGCTGAATGACTGTTCCAGGTGCCGGGGATAGAAAGGTGAACAAGGGGCAGGGATAATGGCTCACGCCTTTGATCCCAGCACTCTGGAGGCAGAGACAGGCAGATCTCTGAGTTCAAGGCCAGCCTGGTCTCCATAGTAAGCTCCAGTACAGACAGAGGAACATGGAGAGACTCTGTCATACACCTCCCCGCCAAAAAGGAAGAAAACAGAAAAAGAAAAGAAAAGAAAAGAAAAAGAAAGGTCAAAAAAAATCAATTCTTTGACCCTCAAAGCTTTCAATCCAAGTACGTACATTTGATATCACATATGACCATCACAACACCCTTAAAAGGTATCAATCTGGTTTTAGTTTTAGAATCTCACAGGCAATCAACTCTTAAATGTTTAAGTGGAGATTAAAGTAGAAATTTGTCTCTAGGCTCATAAACCAGAAAAAAAAAAAAAAAAAAAAGGAAACCATTCTGTTTGGGGCTCTAGACCTTCGCACATTCCACCTTACACCACTTTCATAAGGTGGCTACGTGATGACCCCTCCGCGCCTCCTACAGCTGAGCTGCTGCCCCTCACTCCCACTTGTCTGGGCTCGTCTCTTTGGGTGGACAGGCTACTCCTTCACCCACCCCTTTTCTCATCTCCCTCTCTTTTCCATTTCCTCAGCCCTGAGTCTGCACTCTGGACAGGGTGCCATGGCCCACAGGCTGCTCCGGACACATGGGAGTTACTGAGTCTTGGAGCCAAGGCTTGAATGAGCTAGGCCCCTTTCTGGCGTTAACCAGAAAAGTCAGGAGCTGGGGCAGGGGAGGATGCAGGGCTCCTCATCTCTGGCTCAGGTTCTCCATGCCTTGTCCATCTTCCCTGCAAAAATCTTATGTTCCCACAGACTCTGACCCTCTATCCCTGATCCCCAAAGATTCCTGGCTACCTTTGCCCCCCTAGAGTCACAGTGCGGACTCACTAGGTGATCACAATTCCTTGTTAAAGCTTCCGACTGAAATGTAAAGGAACTGTTGCTAAGAGTAGACTGTGCCTTCACCCAGCATCACAGCCAGCCCTCTCCATCACTCACAGGTAGGTGAACCCGCCCGGTGGTCCCATGGAGACTGCCCATGTTCCATGCTGTCTCTGGCTTGCAGTTAAGAGTAAAGGCTCATTCTGTCCTCACAACCCAACCTCCCTAGCCCATCTCCCCTGAGAATAGGATGGAAGCAGCCAAAGTTCTCTGGAAGGGACCAGTTTACCTGTTCTTTTTCTTTTTTTTTTTTAGATTTTTATTTATTTTTATGTGCATTGGTGTTCTGCCTGCATGTCTGTTTGAGGATCCCTGGAACTGGAGTTACAGACAGTTGTGTGCTGCCATGTGGGTGCTGGGAATTGAACTCAGGCTCTGGAAACAGCCGTTGCTCTTAACTGCTGAGCCATCTCTCCAGCCCCAGTTTACCTGTTCTTGGATGCTGGTGTTGAGTCTCCGCAATGTCTCCTGGAAGTTCTGGTTCCTTGGCTCAAGGGTAGCACAGCGCTGAACATCCTTGAATGCCTGGTCCAATTTGCCAAGATGCTCGAGTGCCTGACATCGCCGATACAATGCTTTGATATCCGCTGAGTTGATGTCAATGGCTACAGAAGGGAGACAGGCAGTCCTCAGGAGGTTGGGCTACAGACTGTTCTCCCTATTCCATTGTCCATGAAAGGCTGTCTTCCTTAGAGACACCCATTTGAACTATCTGGTTCATACCATCTTTTTGATAGGAGAAGGAGCCATAGAGTCTCCAGGTTCACACAAAGTTTAAAAGACCTCTCCCCCTAACCTTTCTCAGCAACACACCCCAACTTCTACCTGATTCCCAAGGCTTCCTCTACCACAGGATTCCTGACTAGTGCTTGTCTACCCGCCAAAATAGGGTGCTCCCCCTCCTTTCTGAGGCAGCCAGGCAACTCCATCAAAAAACAGCCAGGCAGTGGTAGTGTACACTTTTGATCCAGCAACTGAGAGGCAGAAGCAAGCTGATCTCTGTGAGTTCAAGGACAGCCTGGTCTAGAGAGCAAGTTCTGGGACAGCCAAAAAACTTTTCCCTACCCAAATTCTTCCCTGTATTTTTGTCTTTTTATCCTAAGTCTGGGCCTGGAGCCCCCAAAGTAAAACTAAACCCTCCTTATCCCACCCGGGAGCTGCCTTCCCTGGGCTAAATATTGCCAGATGTTTTGTTCCCGTCTCCAGCTGCTCCTTAACCTTCAGAACCCACAGACTGCCATAGCACCTCCAGACAATGGGAGCCAGATCCAAACTCCTGCTCAACCATGCTGGGTGAAGGTAAAGTGGAGCTCACCTCTGGAAGCATCTGAAACTGCCTGGGCATAGCTCTCCTGAGAAACAGGAACAAGAAACTCCATTAATGGGGGGTCCCAGTACGGAGACAACCAGTGCTCCCTAAGTAAGGAGAGAAGTTAGCCATGGAACTACAGGTTATCAGAGGCCCAGGATGCACTCCATGCCTGGCACAAAAAAGCACAGGCTTCAGTGTCAGGTAGGCCCAGGATTAAATGCCAGCTCCTCTGCCACCTGGAAACGCTATTCATGCTCTCTGAACCTTGGGTTTCTTGACTGCAATATAGGAATGCTAGTAAAGGTTATCACAGAGCTGCTCTTAAAAGGAGTAGCCCAACACATGAAAAGCACCTATGTTGGGCCAACTATGACTGGTGGATTTCTGCTTCTCCAGAGCAATGGCCCTGGCAGTAAGAGGCACATTTGCCAACTCAAGGGGTCTCGATGGCCTGGTGAGAGTGATGATGGCTCGTTTCCATCAGGCCCTCACAACCTTGTCTCCAGCCTTAACGGCCCTCAGCCCACCCAAGCTGTCCTGTCCCCAGACCATTTTCAGGCCACAGGCTGCCCGATTCCTGTAGAGTGTGGCCAGCAGGGCTTTGTCCTTGGTCAGCTTCAGGGCCTGGCTGTAGCTCTTGGTGGCCGCCTTGTAGTCCTGGCGCTGAAAATGCTGGTTCCCTTCCTCCTTCAGTTGTGCCGCTTCTGCCTCTGCCATCTGTGGGGACAGCGACAGGCCTGTGTGGTCAGCCTTCTGCTGGACACCCAGGGCAGGGATCCTGGCCCGATAGTCAGAGCCCCCTCTCCACAGTGAAGGTATGCACTCCAGCACCCCTAAATCCACTGAGACACCCCACCCCAAGGACACTGGTATTTGTCTGGAGCCTGACTCCCACTGAGGGGCTTGTGAGAGTCCCTGTGCTTCCCTCTCTGCCTCTTCCAATGACGTGTCATCCACCTCCCCCAAGGCTCAAGCTTCCTTGCAGATCTGAAGGTCCTCGGGGCCTTCTCCTCGCCCAGTCTCCCAGCCTACTCACAGTCTCTGAGGGATGCCTCCGCCTAGGTACCGCTCCTGAGCTCTGCAGTCCACCTCAGACAGCTTCCGTCTGCTCCTCCCAGCCCCCACCCCAGGCGTTATCACCCCAGCCAGTGACTCCAGACTATATTTGGCTACAGGGGCAGGTGCTCCTGGAAGCTGTCATTGATACAGGGCCCTCCCACTGCCCAGAGTGGACATCCATGACCACGTGGAGGGCCTGACTACCCTCTGGCCCTTGGGCACCCCTCTCAGGGGCGGTCCTGCAAGGCTTTGCGCTCACACCTCAAAGTGTGGGAGAAAGATCCAGAAGAGACAGGAATATCCCTTGGAGACCTGCCCTGCCTAGGCAAAGTTATAATGCCCCTTCCCCAGCTCTGTCCTAGATAAACAACCCTCCCCCCACTACTGCTATTTTAGGAGCAGAGTGACAGCTGAGGGGCTGATAGACTTGGACGCAGAGCAGCTGCCCAGGTCCCTCTGGAGACTTCCAGAAATGCCTCTCTGGAGGGAGAAGGAGAGCAGAGTGGAGAAAGATTCCTTCCTCTCTCCTCTTCATACTTGTTCACAGTGGGCGCATTTGCTCAAAAAGACCCTGCTTTTGGAAAGCCCAGCAGGAGTTGCTGACGTGGTGTGTGGGAGTGGGTTGCTGCGTGGGTGTGATTGTCTCCCATCCTTCTTTGTCTGCCTTGATGAATAGACAGTTCCCCATCTGGCTCTGACACCCTTGGCTCTCTTCCTCTCTATCATATTTAACTCTCCTGGGGCAAGGACTAGGACAGACCTGAAATTGCCTGAGCTCAAGGATGATAACTTACCTTCCTCTGATCCAGATCTCTCCCAGGACAAGAAGAGGCTCCCTCTTCAAATGTGGCCATCGCCATGGCGTAAGGTGATGTTTCTCCTCAGCCAATTTTAAAAGGCTATCCTCACTGAGAGTCGGAACTCTCCTGCCCTTCACTGTCTGCTCCAGGAGGTCAAGGATGCTGTTGGGGAACTTCTCCCATTGCCATCCCAAACACAGAGACTGGCAGACAGTGTCCTGCTTGTTTTATGAATGAATGAATGAATGAATGAATGAATGAATGAATGAATGAATGAATGGAGGGATGAATGGAGGGATGAATGGAGGGATGAATGGAGGGATGAATAGATGGATCTTCATTCTGCCTCTGTCTCCCGAGTGCTGGGATTAAAGAGGTGCCATCACATCCAGTTTATTAGTTTCTTACAGGCTCTGTTTTCTTTCGACTTACGCATGAGGGGAGTGGAGATTCAGTTCTGTCCATAGATGAATAAGATAAGATAAAACCACAAAGCAACCAATAAAGAAAGTTTCTGCCTCAACCCACTAGTTTCCTGGTTTGTACTTCCACCCCTGGAGAAAAAGGAATGCTGCCCGGACCCCGGAGAGCTCGGCCTCTGCCGTTTCCCCGACTCTGTGAGCTAGGCGTGCAAATCAATTAACTTCTCTGCGGCTTGGCTACCGTCATTCACGAAAGTTGACAGGAGCCGCTGTTGGCTGTTGTGAGAACTGAATAAAGAACAAGGCGGGGGAGTGAAGCCACCTGGTGACCCTAGTGGCACTCCCGGCCTCCCGAGCAGCCTGACTCCTCCGAACACGAGAGGGCGCTGTGGCCGGCGGCTGGCCCGGCGCAACACGGACGCGGCGCTCCGTCCCTCCGCCTCGTCTTCCCTCCACGTGGGGACGCAGGATGGCGGCCGCTGTGGCGGTGGGTGTACGCGCGCGAGGGCGGAACGTCGGGGGTCTCCGCGTGGGGTCCTCAGGCCGGAGGGGAGCGGAGGGGCATTGACAGACTCCTGGTCTGTTTCCGTAGGACGAGGCGGCGGCGGGCGACGTACAGCGGCTGCTCGTGCAGTTCCAGGATGAGGGCGGCCAGCTGCTGGGCTCCCCGTTCGACGTGCCGGTGGACATCACGCCGGACAAGCTGCAGCTCGTGTGCAATGCGCTGCTGGCCCAGGTGAGCACCCCAAGACGATGCCGCGGTGTTCCGGGGACCCACGCTGCTCACTGGCAGTTAGGGGCGTGGTTCGGCCCCTGGGAAAAAAATGTTCTCTATGCCGACCTATCTGCGGTCAGGGCGTGTTTTGAAGTAATCGGATATAGTATTTCCGTGACTCCTTGTCACAGCCCAACGTAAGTATCGTTATTTTACGGAGATACCCAGCGGGATTAAGTTATTCGCGTGGAGGTACGCAGTAGTTGGGATTGAGCACTGTAGCCCAGATCGGTCGGACCGGATTTTAAAAAACCTGTGTTCTTAACCTTTCAGCCAGTGTTTCTGATGCTGTGTTGGGGTGGAGAGGCAGGCGTACAGAATCAGCTGGTGGACCCCCTCCCCCCCCAGCCTCCTACTTGGTCTGCACTTTTAACCACCCCTCTGAATACTCTTTTTACATAGCGTTAGTGGTTTCTGAAACAGTATATGAGGTTGTGTATTGACTCGCATCTTAGACCTTAAAAATGCCAAAGATTTGAAGTAGCTGTCAGGGTTAGTGGTTTAAGCATTTTTTTTTTTTTTTTTAAGTGTCAAGTGGGGATATTAATGTCTACTTCGCAGGATTGTGAGATGCAGATGAAGGGCTCAAAAATTCTGAGTGGCCTAGGATTACTTCTCAGTGATATAAAAAAGTCACATTCTCGGTGGGGAATAGTGAAGGTATCCCAAGCAAGGTGGCTGGAAGAAGACAGCCTCACCCACCCCACCCCCAGTGGGTGAATCCTCCTGTGGCAGAATTGCCCTTTACCCCATTGTTCTTGCCCTCAGGAGGAGCCCCTGCCCCTTGCTTTCTATGTCCATGATGCTGAGATTGTGTCCTCACTGGGGAAGACGCTGGAGTCCCAGTCTGTGGAGACAGAGAAAATCGTAGAGATCATCTACCAGCCACAGGCTATCTTCAGGGTCCGCGCTGTGACACGCTGCACCAGCTCGTTGGAGGGTCACAGTGAAGCAGTCATTTCTGTGGCCTTCAGCCCCACAGGAAAGTAAGGACATCTGTTGACTTGTTAGGGTCTGGGGGGTGCAACCTCCGACTGGGGTAGAGAGAGCCCTCCAGAGTTATGATCCATGGGGTCTCAGGCTGCCTGCCATGGACTTGAGGGTCTGGACTCAAATTGCAAGTAAGAGACTTTCTTAGTTGGTTTGGTCCCCAAAGACTAGGGATATGTGGTTGGGAAGAATCCATCTCAAACCTCTGGAGATTTGAACTATCCCTCTCCAAGACAGATTTCTGCATGTTACTTCCCTTTGAAAATGAATCATTTTCTTCTCATAGTACTCAAAGATGAACAGTTGAGTCAGGTGGTGATAGTACATGTCTTTAATCCCAGCACTTAGGAGACAGCGGCAGACGGATCTCTGTGAGTTCAAGGCCAGCCTGATCTAAATTGTGAGTTACAGGACAGCCAGAGCTATGTAGAGAGACCCTGCCTCGAACAATAAAAAGCTTTTACTAGAACTCTCCACAGAAGTAGGGACTGGAGTGGGCTGAGCACTCCGGAGGCAGAGGCAGGCAGATGTTGCTGACTTCGAGATCTGGTCCACAAAGCAAGTTTTAGAACAGCCAGGGCTACCCAGAGAAATCCTGCCTCAACTCCCCCAACAAAACAAAATACAAAAGAGAGAGCGAGTGAGCATGAGCACTGTTGTCATGAAGGAAGATGAGAAAGTAGCTTCCTGGGTTCTTTTCCTGGGTGGCGTCAGTGTCCTATTTCTGCTTCTCAGGGAAAGGGGAGCCTGTTCCCAGAAGATGGTTGGATAGGCAGCAGGAATGCACATGTGCAGTGTCTCAGGGTGGGCCCCACCACTGCAGCAGTCAAGCGGCCTCTCTTCCCCAGGTACCTGGCCAGTGGTTCCGGAGACACCACTGTGCGCTTCTGGGATCTCAGCACGGAGACACCGCATTTCACATGCAAAGGTCAGTGTGCATTTAGCCACTTACGGGGTCTTAATGAGTGCCAAGTGGTTAGCTCTGCAGCTCCTGATAAAGTCAACTGTGCCAAGAGGGTCCTCAGACTTTAGCGTAGACCGGAATCACCTAGAGGGCTTGTTAAAATACAGGATGCTAGCTGGGTCCCTAGCCACTGCCCACACCCCCACCCTGTGCTTCCCAGAGCTTTGGTGTTAGCAGATCTAGGGAGGGTCCTGAGTACATTTCTAAGAAGTTCTAGGTGCTGCTGCTGCTCTGGGGACCACAGAGGCGTCCAGTGCATGGCATGGTCACTGTCTAAACTAGTTTTTGCATCTGGAGAATAAGGGTAATTCATGCTTTCCATCATCCTAGAACTGGTGTAAGAAGGGATGGTACATACAGAAAATTCATACCATATGTCAGTATGGAATCACTAGAAAGTAGCAGGGTTGTCTGCAGTAAGCTAAAAGTATTTGGGCTTTGTTCTCCCTCGCCTCTCCTTTAGTTCATTTGATGGTTAAGGAGGGTTCGTGGTTTGCTACACACTGTTAGGCACTGGCTAGAGATAAAGATAAATGGAGCTTCTTTCTCCCATCCCCTGCTCCTTTAGGACACCGGCACTGGGTCCTTAGTATATCCTGGTCCCCAGATGGCAAGAAACTGGCCTCGGGCTGTAAGAATGGCCAGGTAGGTGGCATCAGGATAAATGGGCAGAGTAGCTTCTGGAGTCTTTGAAAGGGTATGTTGGG